AATGGAGCATGTTCATTAAGTGAATAGGTAAAATTTTAAAGTGTTTTTTTGATACTGTTAATTTTCTCTAAACTAATTTATGAAAGTTGTGGGTGGGGGGGGGGATGTTAAGTGTGCCTTGAATGAAAAATAGTTCATGCTTAAAAGTATAAAAATTGTATTAACACTATTTTTTTTTTTTTTCATTTAGCCTTTATTTATACAGGTAGTCTCATTGAGCCACGAGAACTCATTTTCAAGAGAGACCTGTTTAGGGAGCAGATGGTGGTTAAGAGCCTTGCTCATGGTCCAGATTAAAGAACAGGTCTTAAGTATTTATGTAACACAATTATTTCCATTGCATTAAAAAGACAAATTGTTCAACTTTTTTAACAAACGGACCGTCTGTGAGGATCCACAACTTCTCCTCCTCCACCATCCTGTTCACTCTGCTCACATATGATTGTGCAGCTACCCATCCAGGCTGTCATATTGTAAAGTTCGCAGATGGCACAGCGGTGGTGGGATGCATCACAAACAATGATGAGTCCAGTTACAGGCAAGAGGTGGAGAGCTGGTGCAGGAAGAAAACCTTCACATCAATGTGAAGAAGGAGATGGTCGTGGACTTCAGACGAAACAAACACACCTACACCCCCCTGAACATAAGAGGATCTGTGATGGAAGTGGTCTCCAGCTACAAGTACTTGGGTGAGCACCTGAATGACAACGCTGCAGCCTGATCAAGAAAGCATAACGGAGACTACTTCATCAGGTAACTGAGGTGATCTGGTCTGGGAAGCTCAGTCCTCACCTCCTTCTACAGGTGTGCAGTGGAGACCATCCTGTGCTCCTGCATCAACGTGTGGCATGGAGGCTGCACAGCTGCAGAAAGAAAAGCTTTGCAGAAAGTGGTGAAGGCTGCACAGAAGTCTGTTGGAGTCAGCTTCCCTACCATCACAGACATTAACACCTCTAGATGCAGGAAGAGAGCCACCTGCATCATGAAGGACTCCACTCACCCAGCACACACACTTTTTGTCCTGCTCCCCTCAGGCAGGAGGTTGAGGAGCATTACATGCAGAACCACTAAACTGAGCTAGGTTCTGTTTGGTTATGGCTTGTTTCTTTCTGAATATAATAGTTCCTATGCTCTTGAATGCACCGTGGCTGTTCCACTGCTCTGTGTAAAGTGCAGAGCTCAGTTGGAAGTTGTTTTTTTTCTCTCCCGGCAAGGACGTAGCTTTTTTGTTCAAGCTTGTTTGCGCTTTACTGGTTTACTGCTTGCTGTGTGTAAATACCAGAAGAAACACAGCAAATAAATCACCCTAAACTGGATATCTGTCTCCGTGTTCTTTAATAGGAAGACTAGTGGCTTGACAACTTCATATCTTGATGCTTTAAAGCAGTTAATGTCCTGGACAAGTCAAGTCAACTTTATTTATAGAGCACATTTAAAACAGAACCTGTTTTCAAAGTGCTTAACAATAACAACAATCAATGGGAATAAAATTAAAGAGGAAAAAAATACAATATACTAATAATAATAAATGAGGAACTAATAAAAAGCATTTAAAACATAGGGTCACAGATTAAAAAACACTAGCTCAGTTTACACTGTGTGAAATGCCTACGAGAACAGATGTGTTTTTAGCAGGGATTTGAAGTGAGGAAGGGAGGTGACCTGCCTGATGTTGGGGGGCAAGTTGTTCCAGAGTTTGGGGCCCATGACTGAAAAACCCGATCTCCTCTGAGCTTCAGTCTTGTTTTTGGAACAGCCAAAAGCAGCTGATTGGATGATCTCAGGGCCCGAGAGGGAACGTATGGTTCCAGAAGCTCAGAGAGATAAAGGGGTGCGAGGCCATTTAAGCATTTGAAGGTCAACAGAAGAATTTTTAAGACTATCCTAGTACGAACAGGGAGCCAGTGAAGGGAGGACAGAACTGGTGTAATATGTTCAGACCTACGAGTTCCGGTTAAAAGCCGAGCAGCAGCATTCTGGACGAGCTGAAGACGTGAGATGGAGTCCTGGCTGACCCCAGCATAGAGGGCATTGCAATAGTCCAATCAGGTCTCGACAAAGGCGTGGACTAGTTTCTCAAGGTCGGGTCTGGACAATACTGGCTTGAGCTTAGCTACCTGTCTGAGTTGGAAGAAGCTTTTCTGCAGAACAGAGTTGATTTGTTTGTCAAACTTGAAGTCAGAGTCTAAATCCATCCCGAGATTTTTACCAGACTGCTTAAGATATGGCTGAAGAGAGTCCAGGTTGACAGGATCAGTGGCGGCAGTTGAACTAGGGCTAAAGACAATGACTTCAGTCTTCTCATCATGAAAATTTAAGAAATTTGAAGCCATCCAGGCCTTAATGTCGTCCAGACATTTTAACAGAGGGTGAATGGAGCAAACATTTGCTGGTTTCACCGACAGGTAGATCTGACAGTCATCAGCATAGCAATGGAATGAAAGATCATGTTTCCTCAGGATGGACCCCAGTGGGAGCAAATAAAGTGAGAACAGAAGGGGTCCAAGAATCAAACCCTGGGGGACCCCGCAAGAAAGAGGTAATGAGGCAGATTCATTATTACCAAACTTGACACAGAAACTCCTGCCACTCAGGTATGAGCGGAACCATTCTTTTTTTTTGTGAAAAAAAAAAAGAAAAAAAAAAGAGCGGAACCATTCTAATGCAGCACCTGTGATCCCAACCCACTGTTCCAGCCGTGATATCAGGATACTGTGGTCAACAGTATCAAAAGCAGCAGTAAGGTCCAGGAGCACAAGTACCACAAATTGACCAGAATCGTTTGAGATCATAATATTGTTACGAACCCTCACTAATGCTGTTTCAGTGCTGTGGAGTTGCTTAAAACCAGACTGAAAAATCTCGAAATTCTATTCTCATTCAAAAACTTGTTTATTTGAATGAAAACTATTTTCTCCAGGATTTTGGACAGGAAGGGAAGTTTCGAGATTGGTCTGAAATTTGAGCAAGTCGAAGGGCCAAGTCCAGGTTTCTTAATTAACGGATGAACTACTGCATGTTTGAAAACATCGGGAACCACACTTGTCACAATACTACTATTTATAATAGTAAGAACAGAGGGTCCAATCGTGGGTAGAACGTGTTTGAAAAACGATGCAGGAATGGGGTCAGTGGGGGAACCGGAGGGTTTCATCTGACCAACGACTTTGTTTAGAAATGGGAGTGAAATGGGTCAGTTATTCACCAACCTCTCCTTTTTAGCAGCTACCGTCATTTTCGCACCTATCAGGAATTTACATTGGCTCCACTGTGAGTCAACAAAGACCTATTGTAACGATTGATATCTGCATATGCATCTAGCTTGTTCACAGCAGGAACCACAGTTTCACACAAGCGGTGGGGGAGGGGCTGGGTTTGTGAGTGAGAAGGGGCCACAGAAGTCACAGACTGGGAGAAGAAACAGGCATTGCCCAATCAGATTTCTTCTAATTTTATATTGCAGGAACAAGTAACTAAGATGGTTAAGGGAAATGTATTGAAGTAAAAGTACACATTTTATTGAGAAAATGTAGTGGAGTAAAACTGAAAGTCACTAGAAATGTAAATAACGAAGTAAAGATACATCAAAATTCTACTTAAGTACAGTAACAAAGCATTTCTACTTTGTTATATTACAACACTGCTAACCAGGATAATCACTGTGGGGAAAAAATCACATCATGTTGCTGCTGATCTATTTCACGTGTTCATTCGTACTCATCTGCTCACACAGACTCATGTTCGTGCTGCTGTTGTTCAGCGTATTGTTTTTATACTAGTGCTTAGTGTATTTTTAGTTAACGTTTTTCTCAGTTCATATCTTAGATCTTATTACTGTTTTTCTTTTACATTTTATACTTTTGTTGGATGTAACTTGGACCCTGTGTACACAATTTTGTTCCACCACGTGGTGCATGTGGTGCGGATGACAAATAAAGAAAGTTTGACTGTTGGACAAATTTAAAAAATATATTTAATAAACATGTGGGTTATGAAGGGGGTCCCTGAAACTTTTTCTCCCCTGTTAGGGGTCCCTGAACCCAAAAGGTTTGAGAACCCCTGAGAATGAAGAGTCGTTTTATTTAAACTTTCACATAATCTGACTTTTAGCATTTTCCAATAAACTTTTCAATCTTGAGTCGAGTCAAGATTGTGACAGTATGCATGCTACAGAGTGTTGTTTAAAACTATAAATTGTAACTTCTTTATTTCACTTAATCTTATCTGCTCTGGTTGTTCTATTTTGAAGGTGAGGGTTTCCCTTCGTGGTGACGTAACCTCTGAGCTGGATTACGCAGGCGGCTGCTATTGGCTCACATCGACGCACGAGGCCTGTAGTTTGAAAGCTGCTCGGGCCTTGGCGAGCCGTACCTTTAGCCTTATTACGAACAAAGTTACGTTATTTTTAAACGTATTCAAAGCGTTTTTAAGCCAATGTGCGCGACAAGACGACAGCTACTTTTGCGGGAAGGTTGTCAACAAATGGAGCGCCTGTCCGGCGGGATACGTCTCTAGAGGAGCGTCTTGAATGGCATTGTTTTGTGACTGAGTTGCCCAGAACTCCACGCAAGGAGAAAAGAAAGCTAGCTGGCTAACCTGCTAGCTTGTAGCTAGCGGCGAACGTACGTGCTGTTCACTTCCTTGTTGCACATTGGTTTGTGATGGAAGAAGAGAAGTTTTGAGTGGAGGCGAGTTTTTGTTCTGTTTTATGGATTTTAACACTATGCGGTGAATGGACTTACGTCTTCTATGCACCGTCACGTTTTAGAAGAGGCGAGTTTTCAAATGTCGCTCTGGGCCTCGCTATGAAATGCGAACTGTTAGCTTAGCTGCGCCGATTAGCTGCGGATAACAAATCTTGGTAGACGTTCGTCCCGGAGCACAATGGTTAAGTATGGCCTAGCTTTATAACTTAACACCACATTGTGAATTGAGTGTGGCGGAACCTTTTGACACCGAGTGTCACCAATTTACTTTCTCCGGAAGTTCCTTTGGGCTGTCTTTGTAATTGGAATCCTAAGCTTGTGATTCTGCTAACGGAGTGTGAATTTGCGTAGACGTCGGCTAAGTAGCCAGTTTAACAGCTAGCCTAATGTTCTGTTCAACGACCAGTCAAGGAACGTAGTTTACATAAAGCTTAGCATACTATTGTTCTAAACTTGGTCGTAGTTTTCTTTTCATTTGGAGGATAAATGCCCAATTCCGAGGTGCTTCGAGAAGGTCGGGGACGGAGCCCCTCTACGCAGCGAAATGCTAACAGGCAGGACCGGAGGAGCAGAGCAGGGAGCGGGGCTGCTCAGCGAGACAGACGCCGAGCGAAGGCGCGCTCGTCGACTTCACGGAGAAAGAAACGCAGGCAAGCCAGGAATAGACGCTTGTGGCCAACAGGTACAGCAGAAGACAATGGCCGAAATATCGCTTTTGAAAAAGAGCTGGAACTTCAGACATTAGTAGAATATGACGACGTGAGCTCACAGTCGGAGCGTTTCTCTGGGAGCCCCTCTCCTAAACCCTATCCCCATGACAGTCTGTCAGTGGGGCATCTCAGCGATACTGACTTTGGGGACAATAATGGACCAGCATCCCTGGATCGAAGTCACCTGGGAGGCCGGGAGGCAGTGAGCCTCCGGAAAAATGACATAAAAAGAGGACCATCTGCGAAGAACAAACAAGACAAGATGATAAACAGAAAAAAAGAACGCCAGAATCGAGAGAAAGACCCCTCCAAAGTCAGGAGTGGAGGTAGCCTGAGTGGCGCTAAAAATCACAAGGACTCTGCAAGGAGCAGTGACAGGAACAATAAAAGGACTTCTGCGTCTCAGTCCTTGCAGACTGGACAGAAGAAGGATTCAAAAAGACACAAAAGTAAAACCAGATCTGACAAAGAGCCGCCATCTGCATACAGGGAGGCTCCACAGTCTTACAGAGAAGAGCGTGAGGACCTCAAAGCCTACAGGAGAAGTCCTGGTTTTAAAGCAGACAGTCCCTATGGGACATCCTTTTCTTATAGCTACCAGTCTCCTGCTGGCTATAACCAATCGACATCAAGAAAAAGTCCAACGTATGGGAGCAAAAGACTTTCTCCCAGTTCCACATACTACAACAGGGACTCAGATGTTTATGGAGCATATGGTGTTTCAAAGTCGCCAAGCTCATACTCCAGCAACAAGAGGAAGCGATCTCCTGCGAGCCCAGCGAACTGGCGCAGGTCACCGAGCTATGGTCGACACAGTCCATACGAACAAGGCGAGTTTGTCTCAGGTTCTTACGGAAACCGCAGAAGATCTCGAAGTCCTTACAGAAAGTCCCGGAGTCCGAGTCCAGATGTCAGGTAAGCTCTTTAAGTGCGGCTTTGTTGTGCTCCTCTGCAGCTGTGAATTTATCATTAAAATGGAATTTTGTTCTCATGAGGAAATATTGCTTGGACTACACAATATCCAATCCACAAAATTTAAGTGATCATTGTACCCATTTTGGACAAATATGAACAAAATACCAACAAGAATAAGTTAAAAATACAATTGTGTTAAAAATAAATAAAAATTGAAAATACTTGTAATAAATTAATAGATAACCTTGAGTAATAAAGAAATTGTGGCATCCCCCTTCTGTACAAACACTAAACACTTCTTATTTCAGGCTTTTGATTAAAACACCTGATACATGAACAAATGGATTCTCAAGTCTACATCAAGAGCTTTAAATCATCTGCCTTATTGAAAGAAACATAATCAGCATCAAAATAATCAAAAGTAATGGATCATATCGCATCCCTCTGAATTGTGAAGTGCCTAAACATTCCCACCCCTATTGCACGGGTTCTTTATTCATGTTTGAGAACTCTGGTCACAAATAAATTAAATATTTAAGTTGCAAACATAATCATGCCCAACGGATATCAGTGCCAACATTATTTTCAAAGTAAACGAAGCTAAATATATATGTAATAAGCTGGTATTGTTTTAAGTGTATTAATAGTTTATAACTATTCTGGTCTTATTCATAACAAGCTAAAATCTACCATATTCAATGTGCGATGGATTTGCCTTGCTCTTTTAGGTTAAAAATATAAATAGGTAAAAGCTGATTTGAAATATTAAGAATGTTAGTAACTTTCTAATTAATTTTCATCCTCATGTCTGAAATAGTTTACATTAGATGTGCATCAAAGGGGATGGAAGTCGAGTCAGATTTATTTATAGAGCACATTTAAAACAGAAACTGTTACCAAAGTGCTTAACAAAAATATCACATCAAATGAAAAGTAGCAAGATATATTTACAGCACATGGAATAAAAATATAGCAGCTCTTGTAAATCGCATCTGATCTATCACAGATAAAAAGGTGTGACTTTCAATGGCTGGTTCTAGTTTAGTCTTCATAATTTCATGTGACAGAGTGGCGTCTTCCCAGTTCTAATTCTCCAGATAGATATCCCAGTAGATTAAATACATTCCTGAAAAAAGCTTGCGATTTACACAGCTGTTTCTTTTTTTGTTCACTTGTCAAGTTTTGTTTCCACTTACTGAAGCAACTCAACCTCTTGCAGCACTACATTCTAGTTTATCCACTCAAACCAGTCAAATTGGTTTTTAAATAGTTCATTTGCGTTACTTAACTTTTGAACTCGTTTATTTTCACTTATTAATGGAAACTCGAACCAAGATTTTATTCTATGGTTCGTAGCAGATGGAGAATTTATTATTATTTTTTTTTTTCATTTAGCCTTTATTTATACAGGTAGTCTCATTGAGCCGCGAGAACTCATTTTCAAGAGAGACCTGTTTAGGGAGCACATGGTGGGGGTTAAGGGCCTTGCTCATGGGCCCAGAGTGGGGCGAATGAGGGTGGGGGCAAGTGTGGGTGTTTCACCTACCCCACCCACAATTTTGATTGGGCCGGGGCGTGAACCGGCGATCTTCGGATCACAGGCCCACCTCTCTAACCTCTGCGTCACCACTCCCCCTATTATTTACCTGCAGTAGCATTTGTACTTTTGTAAGTGTATAATAGCGGAAAAACTAATTTATAACATTTTATTTTATTTTTAGTATTCCAAAATCAAAGTATGGAATGGTAAAATGCTGTGCATAATTACCAGTGGTTATTGAATTGACCTTGCTGTGTTTATTTTGTTAAGACTGAATCGTAACAAAGTGTGTGTTGTTCTTTTTACTACTTCTCCAGGCGATCTGCAAGGTCACGTAGCAGGAGTCCATATTCAACCTCAAGACCGTCGCGTTCTCACAGCCGTCACCGCCACTCTCGTTCCCGCAGCCGCCCCGCCAGTCTTTCGCCAAGTACGCTCACTTTTAAATCCAGCCTTGCAGCTGAGCTTAGCAAGCAGAAAAAGGCTAAAGCTGCAGAAGCAGCTGCCAAGGCCAAGAACACAAGCAACACATCAACTCCGACCAAGGGTTCCTCATCTGCACTACAGCCAAGCCCTAAATCAAATCACATAGCCAGGAAGGGACGCCCTCCCTCTCCACCACAACCAGAAAAGGGTCCCAGAACTCCGACATCAAACCAGCCTCAGTCTCCTGCTGACAAGTTGTCCAAGAAGATCACAGAGAACCAGAACAGTAGAGACAAAGATGGAAAAGGGAGGGATGACTCTGTTCACCGGGACAAGAGGAAAGCACCAGCATCTGCACAGAGCAAAGACAAGGAACGAGCTGCTGGTCCAGTTATTTCTACTCTGCCAGCTCTGCCGTTGCCCCAAATAACACCAGAACACTCTGACAAAGGAGAAAGGTGTGGTTATTCATTCCATTCAAAGTTTGTAACATCATTTTGTTAATGTGGTTTTGTGTACTTGTTAAATTAAGTTTTGCTCATGCATATCTCTGCAATCATCTGCAGTTTAAAGGACAACTCACTCTCAGGAAAAAAGAAGATGGAGAAAAAGACCCGTCAACTCCTCTCTGACTTGCCTCTGCCACCTGAACTTCCTGGTGGTGCATCGTCCTCTCCGCACAGCCCTTCTGATGACAAAAAGTCACAAACACTTCGTCGAAGACCTAAGTATGTTTTGATATGCATAGTTCTTGATTGCCTTTTCAGTTGTGTGTTATATGGTTTTGTATCATTCAAAATGTTTTTTTTTTTTTTTTTTTTATTCCCAGAATTTGTGGTCCAAGATTTGGTGAGATAAATGAAACTGAGATATACTGGGGAAAACGATGTGTGGACAAGTTTGAGATTATTGGAATCACAGGGGAGGGTACCTATGGTCAAGTATACAAAGCTAAAGACAAAGACACTGGTAAGTGTTTAGATAAATTTTCACTCTACCAATGCTCAAGTGTTTTCATAGATAGTGTTTATGCAGTTTGATGACACAAGTCTTTTATAGTTTCAAATGCCATTATCATACTTACAGCACTGTTTAGAACAAGATTGGTCACTTTGTTTTTATTCATCAGGTGAAATGGTGGCTTTGAAGAAAGTTCGTCTGGACAATGAAAAGGAGGGCTTCCCTATCACAGCCATCAGAGAAATTAAAATTTTGCGACAGCTGAATCACAAGAGTATCATAAATATGAAGGAGATTGTGACAGACAAGGAAGACGCTGTGGACTTCAGGAATGATAAAGGTATCTGAACTGTTGGACAGTATCAAATGGATGCCACACCACCTGTATCTTTACTGACAGTCTCTTCCCCCTCCACATTTTAGGTGCTTTTTATCTCGTATTTGAGTACATGGACCACGACCTAATGGGTTTACTAGAGTCAGGCCTGGTCCATTTCAACGAGAACCACATCAAGTCTTTTATGCGACAGTTGCTGGAGGGCCTGGATTACTGCCACAAGAAGAACTTTCTGCATAGAGACATCAAGTGCTCCAATATACTTCTTAATAACAAGTGAGAAAGCAGAATTTTCTTTGCCAGATTCTAAACAGTCTTCTGTTTTATGTTGTTTGTTTTAATCAATATTCTCTTTTGTTCAGAGGCCAAATAAAGCTTGCAGACTTCGGACTTGCTCGTCTATATAACTCTGAAGAGAGGTAAATACCGGGTACCGTGTATTCTTGGTAAAACAATTCATTATCCATATAGCTTTTAAACAGCTTTTTTTAATATTTATTGTATAGTTTCTGTCACTAACCTACATATATATTTGTATTTTCAGTCGACCATACACCAATAAAGTGATCACACTATGGTACCGTCCCCCAGAACTTCTCCTGGGAGAAGAGAGGTACACCCCTGCTATTGATGTCTGGAGTTGCGGGTAAGGGCTTGTTGGATTTAAAAAAATTTTTTTAACATGCTCAAACACAAGTTATTTAATCATGATTTGTCTCTTTGATCATTGCAGGTGCATTCTTGGGGAACTGTTCACAAAGAAACCCATTTTTCAAGCAAACCAGGAGCTGGCACAGTTAGAGCTAATTAGGTAAGTGTGATCTGAATGTCTGAAGCATGCCGAGGTTCCCATGCAGTTTTACAGTCAATTGAACTAAATGCAATGATTGAGAAGAGGTTTCAGCTGTGAAAAGTGCCACTCTTTTTACTGACAGTCACAGTTGCCTGTAAATTAGACTCATCATTTGATTAAAAAAAATGTTTTAACTGTTCCACGTCCCTAGAGATAGTCTATGCCACTACGAATTGGCATGGCCTCCTCTCTCGCCTGCACCACACCTTGATGAACCTCCTCACAAGTGATGGGTCTATGTAGAGGTGGCTTTATGGCATTTCTTCGGACTTGGCCTGGCTGAGCCCAGGAGCTCGACGACCAAGCAAAACCTGATCTTGTTTTAGGACATATTTATGCAGAAATATAGAAAATTCTAAAAGTTTCACAAACTATCAAGCACCACTGTATATGCTGTTTGTCCATCAAGGTTTTGAGTCACTCTTACTCCAGAGTTGCCCAGGTAAAGATGCATTGGATGGGTGTGGGGATACTCACAAGCCACCGGCTGAATGCCTTGGTGTTTGTTTTTCCTGGTGAATGAGAGTGTTGCCTCTCTGCTGCTTAGAGCGACAGAAGGGAAGGTTCTGGTAGTTGTTTTTACTTATGCACCAAACAGCATTTCAAATTACCCAGCCTTTATGTAGACTTTAGGCGGTGTCCTGGAAGGGGTGCCATGTGGGGATTCCCTCGTTCTACTGGGTGACTTCAATGCCTATGTAGACAATGACGCAGTCATCTGGAAGGGGGTAACTGGTAGGAACGGCCTTCCTGATCTGAACCTGAATGGTGTTCGCTTATTGGACTTCTGTGCTAGGCATTGGTGTCCATAATGAACACCATGTTTGAGCATAGTGTGGTTCATAAGTGTACTTGGTACCAGGCCACATTAGCCCATAGGTCGATGATCAATTTTGTAATCATGTTGTTGGACCTGCGGCCCTACTTTTGCATAGGGCCGTAGGTTTAATATAGGGATATATGACCCTATGTTGATCAGCTATCAACTGATCACTACCTGGTGGTGAGTTAGGTCTGATGGTGGGAGAAGCTGCTGGACAGATCTGGTAAACCCAAACATAGTGAGGGTGCACTGTGAACATCTGGTGGAGCCGTCGGTCTGTGCGGCTTTCAATTCACACCTCCGGGAGAGTTTTTCCCCATATCCTGAAAGAAATCAGGGACATGGAATCCAAAAGGCCGTGTTCGGGGCCTCTATTGCAGGTGTGGCTTCCAGGAGCTGTGGCCTAAACGTCATTGGTGCCTGTCGGGGTGGCAACTAAAGGACTTGCATGGTGGACACCATTGGTGAGTCATTCAACCTTTATTTAGACAGGTAAATCCCATTGAGCCTCGAGGACTCATTTATAAGAGAGACCTGATTAAGTGATAGAGGCTGTCAAGCTGAAGAAGGAGACCATCAGGACTTTGTTGTCTCAGAGGACTCCTGAAGCTGTTGACAGGTACAGGGTAGCCAGAAGGCCTACGGCTTTGGTGGTTGCAGATGAAAACTCTCAGGCATGGGCGGAATTCATGGAGGATATAGAGACGAACTTTTGGTTAATCTTGAGGAAGTTCTTGCAAACCGTTGGGTGACTCAGAAAATGAAAACAGACCCTATCCCTGACTGTCCTTGGTTTGGATGAGGAACTGCTGGCCCAGACTGAGAGTATTGTTGAGCAGTGGAAGAAAAACTTTGAGAATCTCCATAATCTACCCACCATGTCCACCTTTGAGGAGAGCAGAGTCTGTGCACTCAGGGAAAGATGAGTCCATTACTATGGCAGAGATCACCAAGGTAGTTAAAAAGCTCCTTTGTGGCAGGGCACTGGGGGTGGACAAGATTCTCCCTGAAATGCTGAAGGCTCTGGACGTTGTGGGGCTGTCATGGTTGACATGTCTTTTCAATGTCACATGAAAGACTGGGACAATGCCTGTGGAGCGGCAGACTCCGCTCCACAGGCAGTGGTTCCCTTTTTTTAATGGAAACCTGAGTGTGTGTTCTAACTATCGTGAGATCACACTTCTTGCCTTTCCCAGGAAAGTGTACCCCAGGGTGTTGGGAGGCTCTGACTTATTGTTGAACCTTAGATTGAAGAGGTGTAATGTGGCTTATGTCCTGGTCATGGTACACTGGACCTGATTTTCACCCTTGCGGAGTTGCTATGGGGTCCATAGTTTGCCTCTCTAGCCTACATGTGTTTTGTGGATCTGGAGAGGGCTTATGACTGTATTCCTGGAGGCATTCTGTTAGGGGGGCTTTCTGTTAGGGGGGCTTTGGGAGTAAGGAGCCTGGGTTGCTTTTAAGAACTATCCCTATCCCTGTGTAACCAAAGCAGGAGCTGCGTCTGCATTCTTAGCATAAAGTTGAGTTCTTTCTCTGTGAGGGTTGGACTCCACCATGGCTGTCTCTTGTCTTCTATTCTGTTTGTGGTGTTCATCGACAGGATGTCAAAGTGCAGTTATGGAGAGGAAGGTGTCTGGTTTGGGAACCTCCGGGTCTCATTTCTGCTTTATGCAAATTATGTGGTTTTGCTGCCGTCTTTAGGCCATGACCTTCAGCGTGTATTGGGGTGGTTCACAACAGAGTGTGAAGCGGCTGTAATGAGAGTCAGTTTCTCTAAGTTTGATGCCTTGGTTCTCAACTGGAAATGGATGGATTGCCCCTCTGGGTGCTTTGCCTCGGGTGTAGGCGTTCAGGTATCTGGGCGTCTTGTTCAGAAGTGATGGCAGGTGGAACAGGAAATGGATCAACGGATTGGGGTTTCATCCTCCGTAATGAGGGTGTTGCTTCGGTCAGTCGTGAAGAAAGAGCTGATTTGAAAGGCAAAGCTGTCAATTTACTTGTTTGTCTACGTTTCGACCCTCACCTATGGTTGAGGTTTGGATCATGACCAAAAGAACGAGATCCTGGATAAGTCTGGATGTCTGGGTTTTTCTCCTGGGCCTGTTGCCTTCATAACCTGACTACGGGTAAGTGGTAGAAGATGGAAATGGAGCAGTTTTAGCTGATTTTGTTCTGAACATTTTCATAAAAGGAAAGTTTACTAACTTAATCCAGAAGAGACATGCCACCTCTGCTACTCGAAACCATTCAGTTTAATACTTTTTTAGGAGGAAGGGACTCTCATGTTGGTGCTATTTTTATTGCACAGGGATTGCAGTAATAAAGAAGAAAACAACACATTTTTTTATTGCCCATCATACTTGCAATTTTCTGCAACTAAAGCAAATGTATTTCTGTTTTTTAGTCGAATATGTGGCAGTCCCTGTCCTGCTTTTTGGCCAGATGTTATAAAGCTTCCCTTCTTCAACACCATGAAACCAAAGAAACAATACAGGAGACGTCTAAGAGAGGAGTTTGCTTTGTGAGTTCATTAAATGCACTTTACTTTCTGAAAATTTGCCTTCCATTATTTCACTGTCATTTGTTCTTATTCTTTTGTTTCTGTTCAGCATCCCACCATCAGCCCTGGATCTCTTTGACCACATGCTCAACTTGGATCCCAGCAAACGCTGCACCGCTGAACAAGCTCTGAGCAGCGAGTTTCTCAAGGATGTGGACCCAGATAAAATGCCTCCACCAGAGTATGCTTTGTTTGAAGTTCATCAGTATGTTGAGTGTACATTGTGTAAAAATAGTTAGACTTCTTACATACGAGTTTTCCTTGTCTTTGCAGTCTTCCACTTTGGCAGGACTGTCATGAGCTATGGAGTAAGAAACGGCGGCGACAGAAACAGATGCCAGAAGAACTGGTGGCTCCAAAGGTGCCTCGAAAAGAGCTCGGTCTTGATGACAGTCGCAGTAACACTCCACAGGGCTTCTCTGCTCCTGGAAGTATCAAAGCTCAGAACACTTCTGCTCTGCTTGGTGAGCGTCATTACTGTTTTATTATTAGCTCACTAGTCATCTAAACTTATGATTAAGTCTGTAAAAGCTCTGTAGTTCATCTAAAACCAGAGTAAGATGTGTGAGCACATTAATCAACTGTTCTTATGGAGATTATAGCTGCAAATAATGTGTATCTCTTTAGTTATAATTTAAGATTGTCTCTTTACCAGATAGCTTTTTGGTCTTCAAGCTAGTTTGCCTGATATAGAAAAAGAATTACCACACGTTAATTTAATTTGTCTTCCAAAAAATAATTGTTTTCATATGCTCATCTTAAAGTCCATTAAACTCAAACAGAGTTCTCCCTCCTATAACACTGTACAAATGAGTAGTGCTGTTTATGAGGACACACTTATAACTTTTTTCCACTAATAGCATACCAGCGTTTTTATCAGTTTAAAACATTTTTTTAACCTGTTCATTCTTTCTTTTTTTTTTTTTACTCCATTTGTCTCTTCATTTTGTCAAGTTCAAAGGCATGCATCTGTCTCAAATCATTGGTGTATATTTATTTTTTTATAAAACCAAGAAGTTCATTTCAAAGGATAAGAATAAATAATGTTTATTTTATTTGTTTTCTCTGTGCAGATGCAAAGGGTCCAAACTCACAGTTCACACAAGAGCAGCTGGCGGTCCTCCTGAACTTGTTTGGCCAGCCCAAGAGTGCAGTCAACCCAGCGCAGTTTGGGCAGTCTATGAGCACTAAAGTCAACCAGGAGACAGTACAGCAGCTCACGACAGCCTTGCCTCCCTCTGACCCAGCTGAACCCCCACCTCAGCCTGCACCTGCCAAGCCTCCCCAGCCTGCTGCCCCAGCAGGGGTACCCCGCACACCTCCCATGCGAAAGCCTCCATCGCCCACGATGTCTGCACCATCAAGTAATCCAGAAGGCGAGGCCGCAGCTGCTACTCAGACAGCCATGACTATGCTGCTAGCTCAGCTACTGCAGGCTCAGCAGGCTAAGAGGCAGGAAGTAAGTGATGGTGGCGACGGCACAGAAAGTACCAACCCTGTTGGAGTAACTACAGCAGCACCGCTTCTACCTCCAGAGGTTAAACAGCCTCCAGAGCCCAGCCCTGTTTCTTCAGGTGAGACCTTTTTGTCTACATATTTCAGTTTAATTAAACCATTTCTAAAACACCATGTAGTAATGGTTTTATCAGGAATAAAAGTAAAAAAAAACTTTTTTTATCCAAAGAAGCCAAATATTACATAATGTAGGTGAAATCTTTTGTTTTAGGTTTACACCTTTTTTTTTTATCTTTTATTACAAAGATCCTTTTTTTATCCTTGTGGGTTTTGATAATATTCTGATTGTTGTTTTACCTTGAAATTGATTTACATTAAAGAGTCGTCTTGTTTTTTTTTTTGTTTGTTTTTTTAATGTTTTTTTTGTTTTAGTATCTGAGGTAGGGGGCGTTCCCATCCTGCCCCCAGACCAGAGACCTCCTGAGCCTCCAGAACCTCCTCCACATGCTGACTTGGACTACCGACAGCCACCGCCCGAGCCCCAAACTGGCCACGCTCCTCCTATTGCTTCAGCAAGTGGAGTCGATGGAGGTCGGCCCCCAGAGCCAGACTATCCGCCTCTCCCTTCTGCAGAGGGTTCTGGGTACGGGGCTGAATACAACCACCCACCTCCCCCAACTTTTACTCCTGCTGGCTTTGGGGACAGCTACATGGGTCATATGTTAGGCGGAGGCCTGCCACCTCACACACTCAGAAAAGTTTTTAGTAGGCCTGGACAAGCGGCCAGTTCCTCAAATGCTGCTGGGGTTCTGCCACTGGGCCACCCAGACCCTTTCCCTCCAGCAGCTGTAGCCACTGGACCCAGTAGTATGGTTTTTAGTGGGGATAAGGACCACCGGTTTGAGTACAATCACAGCTCTGTAACTATGGAGGGACAGCCCAACCCCAGTGCAATCCACCTGTACAACCACACTATGGTTGGAAAGGATGGTATACTTCCTCCACCACCCATCCCAACACCAGGACAATCCTGGTGCTCCCCATCGCAAGTTGGGGCTCCACCTCTCCCTTTTGGCTTTGTCCCACACATGAACTCCACAGCAACAATCAGAGGACGGGGGCTGCCTTTCTGAAAGACTGGAAACTTTTAATGCAACAAAGAACAAAAGGCTAAAAGACTCAGCTTTGAACCCAAAGCCTTTTTTAGGCCAGATTAGAAGGATCTGGAGATGCACATTCAGTTTTATTAACTTAAATCTGTGTAAAGCATTGTATTTTTTTTAATCTGGAATATGTTGCAGAAGACAGTTGAATAACACCTGAGGATCTTTTCATATTTTTTGTAATCTATTCTGCTATCTTTTAAATTAAACTTTTATCTTTTTTGGATGTACCATCATCGGGCCAGGTAAATTTTAATCTCTACCTTAGCCTTTCTGTAACGTTTTAAGGCAGAATAGTATTATTGTTTTGCACCACTGACAGAAGTAGGCAGAAACTATTTTGGCTATGAAAGATAATGGATGTGGGATGTCTGCACAAAATTAAAATTTTGACTGATAATGTCTTTATGGCCAAGATTATATGTAGTTATTGATGGCTCATTTGGTTAGGCTGATGGATTAGGCGTCAGTGCGTGCAAAGGCTGGTAGCACTTGTACAGCTGCAGAAAATGTAAAAATGAAGAAAGGCTGTTTTTAATTAGAAATGTCTTTTTGACTGTAGGTGTAAAAACTGAGCAGAGCAAACACACACCCAGAGTGGAGATGAAAGGAAATGACTTTTTGTACTAAAATAATCTTCACCCCTTCCTTGTCCTTTTTGGCAAATGTTTATTAAAGAAATCCCAACAGTGTGTTATTGACTGTGAAATGACTTCACTGTTTGAAGGTGAATGAATACCATACCATGTTATTTATAAAGCACTTAAAAACAGCAACAAGGCCAAATGAAGTGCAGTACAGCAAAAACAAGCAAAGGACATGGGATGTAATGCACAGATCCATAAAGATAACTAAAAAAATGGTTACACCACTGGATGGCAGTGTCTCATTGCTGACCAGCACAGTGTGATCCTTTCAACTTGGATAATAATAATAATAATAATGTCATCACAATGTCAGCACTGTATGTTTCCATACAATGGCGAAATTAGTCTCTGCATTTAACCCATCCACCACCAGGTGGTGCAGTGGGCAGCTATTGAAAGCGCCCGGGGGACATTTTGGGGATTAGACGTGCTGCCCAGAGACGCCACGTGATGTGCAGTGACTGGGGATCGAACCTGGGACTCTCGGGTCCCAAGCCGGCTGCCCTGCCTCTACACCATCTCGGCCCCATATGTGAATCAACACAGTTAACACACACTGGCACCACATTTTTGTGTCTGCAGGTGCAACGATCATAAAAGGACTTGTCCATATAGTTGTGTCCCTTTTAGTGGGTTTGGACAAGCTTTCATCTCACTACAAATACTTCATAAATATAGACATTTTTGTGGGGCAATTGTAGAACTTTTATTTAGGGAAATGTGGCCAAGGAAATAGTACATGTCAGGTTTCAGCAACACATTTCACACACTGATGGTAGTTGTGTGACAGTTTCACTGGATTGAATCTTCATTCACTGACCTCAACAAGAAGTGTTGAGATCAGAAACTGGTATCTGCTGCTCTTTGTCCTACTTGACATTTTCTTACATTTTCTCCCAAAGACTAAAGACTTTGAATCCTTACAAATGTATATATTGGTTGTTGTGTCCTGGAGGGAAACAGACTTTCTCCAGTGACACACTGCAGCTTCTGGGGCAATTCAGAATGTTTCCAAGCTAAAAACACAAACACATATAGTTCCTTCAGTGAGTTCTGGATGTGCCCCTATGTTTCCTCCTAGTGAGATCTGCACAACCTCCAGAGTTGTCGTAAGTTATCTAAAGCACCTCAAATGACTCTTGGGGTAATCTACCCCAAGCTCGCACCAGATGACGGTGCTCCTCTAAAATGTGCTCACCCAGTGGAGGAAAATCATTTCAGCCGCTTGTATCTGGGATTATCAACTATAATCTACACCTCAGAACCACAGGATTGGAATGGAGCGTAGATGTTGAATTGAGGGCTTCCACTGAAGGTCTTGGCTTGAAGACACCAACAGAACCTCATCATCTGCAAAACGTGGAGCGGAGACTGAGCCACCCACACCAGACTTAATTTGTTCCACGGCTGCACCTTGAGATCCTTTCCATGAATGACGTAAACGGGATTGGAGACGAGGGACAGCCCCGGCAGTGTTCAATTCACACCACTCTTGCTTTCGGTAACCCTAAAAAGCAATCCCTAAACAAAGCAATAAACTGGGGGAGTGGTGACGCAGAGGTTAGAGAGGTGGGCCTGTGATCCGTAGATTGCCGGTTCACGCCCCGGCCCGGACAACATCAAAATTGTGGGTGGGGTAGGTGAAACACCCACACTTGTCCCCACCCTCATTCACCCCACCCTGGGCCCATGAGCAAGGCCCTTAACCCCCACCATGTGCTCCCTAAACAGGTCTCTCTTGAAAATGAGTTCTCGTGGCTCAATGAGACTACCTGTATAAATAAAGGCAAAATGAAAAAAAAACTATAGACAAAAATAAGACTTGTGCTAGACAAGTGTTTTTATTCAAATTAATCTTATAGACTAAGCGCATCTGTATTTTTTTACACAAGATTGCTGGTGATGAAAAAGCAATTATATGGGGATTTATTCAACATTTATTCAGACCATAGACAACAACTAGACGGTGATTAACACAGCGTAGATGATGGATTGCTGAAACTTCTCAAAGCCTCAGTGAGTCTGGCAACACCATTTGTTTCAGAAGCACAACAGAGGCACACTTTTAGAGAAAGTGATGGCATGAGATATATAGTAAGCCACAGCTGTCATAAACTGGTCATTTTTCCATCAAATTAGGCCTAGATCTAATCTGAAATGAAGAAATACTTTCAATTAATACAGTACTAATCGAAGAGGGTATGCCACTGAGTCGTCCATGAAGATTATATGTAATTTATCAAATGTTTAATCTGTTTTTTTTTAAATACTCTATAAGTGATGAACAATACTTTGATTTTGTTTCAGCTCAGAAAATACTACACCAAACTTTAAGGTTGATATCGGTGAAATTCAATTCAGTTTATTTATATAGTGCCAAATCACAACAAAGTTGTCTCAGGGCACTTTACAGAAACATTCACATACATAAAAGCCAATTAGTAAAGTTCTCTATCTAAGGAGGCCAGTAGACAAGTTGAGTCTTCATGTCATCACAGTCTCCCATCCTGAGCAAGCACAGTGGCAACAGTGGAAAGGAAAAACTCCCTTTTAAAAGGAAGAAACCTCCAGCAGAACCAGGCTCAGGACAAGCAGCCATCTGCTTTGACCGGCTGGTTGAGAGGACAGGAAGGAGAGACAGACGAACACAAAATGGTAGGTCCAGGTCCAGGTGTATCTGAAAGACCAAAAAAAAACCCACATGTTATGGATAGAAAAAATAATCACAAATACAAAACAGGTTGAGCAGAGTAAGTAAAGACAGTAGCAGAGTGAAAAATGTAGTCAGTTTGTCTTCCAGCAGTCTAAGCCTATAGCAGCATAACTAAGGGACAGCTCTGGAAAGCCAATCCGACCCTAACTATAGGATTTAACAAAAAGGAAAGTCTTAAGCCAGGTTTTAAAACTGGATAATGTGTCAGCCTCACGGACAGAGATTGGAAGTTGTTTCCACAAGAGAGGAGCCTGATAACTGAAAGATCTGCCTCCCATTCTGTTTTTGTAAATTCTAGGAACCACAAGTAAACCTGCAGTCTGAGAACGAAGTGCTCTGTTAGGAAAATCCATCCATCCATCCATTATCTTTACCCGTTTATTCCATTTTTGGGTCACGGGGGTCGCTGGTGCCCATGTCCAGCTGTGCGAGGGGCGGGGTACACCCTGGATGGGTCGCAAGTCCATCACAGGGCCACATAGAGACAAACGAGACAAACAACCATTCACTCTCTCACTCACACCTAGGGACAATTTAGAGTTACCAATCAGCCTAACATGCATGTTTTTGGTCTGTGGGAGGAAACCGGAGCACCCGGAGAAAACCCACGCATGTACGGAGAGAACATGCAAACTCCACCCAGAAAGGCCCCTGGACCAGGGTTTGAACCAAGGACCTTCTCGCTGAGAGGCAGCAGCTCTACCAGTTGCGCCACCGTGCTGCCCTGTTAGGAAAATCCATCCATCCATCCATTATCTTTACCCGTTTATTCCATTTTGGGTCACGGGGGTCGCTGGTGCCCATGTCCAGCAATCACTGTGCGAGGGGCGGGGTACACCCTGGACGGGTCGCAAGTCCATCACAGGGCCACATAGAGACAAACGAGACAAACAACCATTCACTCTCTCACTCACACCTAGGGACAATTTAGAGTTACCAATCTGCCTAACATGCATGTTTTTGGTCTGTGGGAGGAAACCGGAGCACCCGGAGAAAACCCACGCATGCACGGAGAGAACATGCAAACTCCACCCAGAAAGGCCCCTGGACCGGGGTTTGAACCAAGGACCTTCTCGCTGAGAGGCAGCAGCTCTACCAGTTGCGCCACCGTGCTGCCCTGTTAGGAAAATATGGAACAATAAGATCTGTAATATAAGATGGAGCTAGGTTGTTGAGAGCTTTGTAGGTTAGAAGTAAGATTTTGAATTCTTTTTTTTTTTTTTTTAATTTTTATTTATCAGGAGAATATATAATTGACATTACATACATTAAACAGAATTTACATGACTTCTCCAATTTTTTCTTTTTTTTTTCCTTCCCCCTTTCCCCCCTCCCTCCCCTCTTCCCCTCCCTCCCCTTCCCCCCTTAACCAAAAACAAGACAAAATAAGGAAAGAAAAAAAAAAAAAAAAAAAAAAAAAAAAAAAAAAAAAAAAAAAAAAAAGAGAGAGAGGGGGAGGAGGAACGAACAGGAGGGACCCAACAAACCAAAAGGAAAACAGTATTTCAGTCTTTCATTTATCCTCTAAAAACAAGTCACATGGTAATGTGATGAGTCCATCATATCAGTCTATACGCTATGAAGGTAAAGATTTTACATATGACACAAAGGGTGTCCACTTGTGGGTAAATTTTTCTGAACTACCTTTCACTGTTAGTAAAATTTTTTCCATCTTCAAGTATAATCTTACAGTATTAAGCCATTGTGATGTGGATGGTGGTGTGGGAGATTTCCAGGCGAGCAAAATACAACGTCTGGCAAGGAGAGAGCAAAAGGCCAAGACCTCCCCCTGCTGGCGGGATAGATTAAGTGTGGTCCCAGGAACTCCAAAAATAGCAATAAGTGGATCACTTTGAAACTGAATCTTAAAAACTCCTGAGAGTATGGAGAAAAAATATTTCCAAAACCCTTGCAGTTTTGGGCAGAAAAAGAACATATGACTTAAGTTGCAAGGTGAAGTCTGACATCTATCGCACTGGTCTGGTATTGAGGGGAACATTTTAGATAAACGTGTTTTTGAGAAGTGTACTCTATTTATTACTTTAAATTGTATTAACTGTAGTCTGGCACATGGTGTACTCTGACGTATGCTGAGAATAACTTTATCCCACCATGAATCTGATAGTTTAACACCCAGTTCACGTTCCCATGCAGTTCTAGTTTTACCCGATGAATCGGCCTCTATTGCCATAAGTTTTCCATAAATAATTGAAAGAGGAGATTTCAAATTGGGGCTCAAAACTAAGAGTTCAACCCATGGTGGGTCAGTAGGCAAAGCTAGAAAATTTTGAAACTGCGATGAAACGCAATGCCTAATTTGGAAG